CGCGTTCCGTGGCCCCATAGGGAGCTCCGCCGAAGGTCCCAGTGGGTGTGCCCGCATGCGTCCCGCACACCCATTTCGGCACACCCCTCGGCCCCAGTGCCCGCGCCCGCATGCGTCAACCACACCCATGTCGGCACACCCCTCAAACGTTTCGTGGTCCCATGGGGAGCTCCACCGAAGGCCCCAGTGCCCGCGCCCGCATGCGTCAGCCACACCCATTTCGTCAACTCCCTCAGACGTTTCGTGGCCGCATAGGGAGCTCCACCGAAGGCCCTAGTGGGTGTGCCCGCATGCGTCCCGCACACCCATGTCGGCACACCCCTCGTACGTTTCGTGGCCCCGTATGGGGGCTCCACCGAGAAGGTATCCACAATTGCAGTATTCACGATTGCATATGGTTGGGTCCTTCGCCAGGATATATTTTTTTTGTTGGGGGGGAAGCTCCAAGGTTTCCCCGCGGCCTCCCCCCCAACACCTCCTCCTTTTCTTTGCTCTTCTTTGGTGCATAGCAAGGAACCAAACATACACAGTGCTTGGCGCCCTCGGTGCAAAGACACGCTGTGTATTTTTGGTGTTTCTGGTATTTTTGATCTACGGTGCAAGGAATCAGTTTTTTCGTTGGTTTTGGAAGCTCAAGTACTTCTCGCGGCCTCCCCCCCAGCACCTCCTCCTTTCCTTTCCTCCTCCTTGTTGCATAGCAAGGAAACCAACCATACACAGTGTTTGGCGCCCTCGGTGCAAGAAAACGTTTGTTTTTGTTGTGTTTTTTGGGTCTAGGATGCAAGGGAAACTGTTTTGGGGGGTTTTGGAAGCGCAAGTGCTCCCCGCGGCCTCCCGGTCCTTTCTTCCTCCTTGTTGCATAGCAAGGAAACCAAACATACACAGTGTTTGGCGCCCTCGGTGTAAGGACGCGCTGTGTATTTTTGGTGTTTCTGTTTTTTTGGTTTAGGATGCAAGGGAACAGTGTATTTTTGCTTATTTTGGTTTTCTGGGCTTCGGAAGCTCAAGTGCTCCCCGCAGCCTCCCCCCGTACACCTCCTCCTTTCCTTTCCTCTTCCTGAAAACCAAACATACGCAGTGTTTGGCGCCCTCGGTGTAAGGACGCGCTGTGTTTCTTTTGTTGTTTTTTCTTTAGGAAGCAAGCGGACACAGTGTATTTTCGTTTTTTTGTTTGGGGGGAACACTTGAGCTTCCAAAAGCTCAAGTGTTCCCCGCGGCCTCCCCCCAGCACCTCCTCCTTTCCTTTCCTCCTCCTTGCTGCAAAGCAAGAAAACAAACCATACAGAGTGTTTGGCGCCTCCGGTGCAAGGAAGCACTCATATGTTTGCTTATTTTGTTTTTTTTGGGGGGGGGTCGGAACTCCGGATGAAGAGGAGGAAGTGCTGGGGGCAGGCCGCGGGGAGCACTTCACCTTCCAAAAGCCAAAGAAACAAAACCACAACACATACACCGTGTTTCCTGGCATCCTAGACCCAAACTGCCAGAACAACCAAATATACACAGCATTTCCTTGCATTGAGGGCGCCAAACACTGTGTATTTTTGGTTTTCTTGCTCTACAACGCAGAGGAGGAAACGAAAGGAGGAGGTGCTGGGGGGGAGGCCGCGGGGAGCACTTGATCTTCCAAAACCCAGAAAGCCAAAATAACGAAACATACTCAATGTTTCCTTGCATCCTAGATCAAAACCAGAAACACAAAACATACACAGCGCGTCCTTGCACCGAGGGCGCCAAGCACTGCGTATGTCTGGTTTTCTTGCTATGCAGCAAGGGGGAGCAAAGGAAAGGAGGAGGTGCTGGGGGGGAGGCCGCGGGGAACACTTGAACATCCAAAACCAAAACAGCCAACATAACAACAAATACACAGTGCGTCGTTGCATCCTAGACAAAAAAGAACCAGGTATACCAAACATACACAGCGTTTCCTTGCATCGAGAGCGCCAAACACTCAGTATTCTTGTTTTTGTATTACTACGAGGAGGAAGCGGAAATGATAATGAGGAGGTGGAGGAGGAGGATGGGCGAAGAAGAGGATGGGCGAGGAGGAGGAGGAGGAATTGTGTTTGGAGAAGGGGGAGGACGGAAGACGAGAAGGGAAGGATGAATCAGAAAATGATGAACGTGAATACGATTCAAGATACAATGCATGATCTTTGGGGGGCGACCACATATATATATATAGACATATATATATACATATATATATATATACACATATATATATATATGTATGCGCAACACCCGCGCGATATTTCAAACTCGGAGCGAGACCCTGGCGCCCACAGTCGCTCAGGCAGACGTCCGCGGCGGGGCAGTTCGCGTCACGTTTCCCGTTTCAGGGCGGCGGTGTATGGGGTGAACTGAATCTCGGGCGCAGCCGAAGCAGGTATGATCAGGGTTGGGACACGAGCATTGCGAACGCGCGCAGGAGCACCCCACCCCCAAGAATCCTGTTAAGGGGGTGGGATGCGTGTGAGCGTTCCTTGCCAACATGCTCTCTCTCTCTCTTTTTTGTTTCTCTCTCTCTCTCTCTCTCTCCCTTCCCCACTCTCTCTCATTGCCTTGACTCTCTCTCTCTCTCTCTGTTTCCCCCTCTCTCTCATGGCGTTTGTTGTTTCTCTATGTGTGTCTATCTCCCTCTCTCTCGCTCTCAATGGACGTCTCCAGCGAACGCGTCGCCGCCCAGCTCGCCGATGGCCTCGCGGTCTTCGCGCGCCTCTCCGACGTGGTCGGCTTCTGGTCGACACTCCCCGCCCGTGGCGACGAGGACCACGCTGGCCGCGCTGACATCATCTCTACTCTTGGCCAGGGCACCCTGCTGCACGCCCCTGCGGGAGGAGGGAGGAGGGAGGAGGGAGCCCCCGCCCAGCTCACCCTGTCGAGCAGCGCGCCAAAAACTGACGCAACATCTATCCAGGCCAGCCGCGGTGCGCCCGTGTAAAGTCTTCCGCAGCAGCTTTCCCGCGGCCTCCTGGCCGACCGCCTCGGGCCCCCTCCCTGCCATCCCCGAAGCGCCCAGCCACCCCCCCTCCTCTTCCTCCTCCCCCTGCCGACCCACGCTTGGGCCCACGCAAAGGAGGAAGGACGAGGAGGAAGGTGGCGACGGGGATGTAAACAACGAGGTTGGCCTCGAGCAGGTCGTGCTCGACGCCGCCCCGCATGCCGCCGCGACGATGTACGACCGCGAACAGCCCCGCGACAGTGCAACGGCCGGTGGTAACGCTGTTGGCGCACCGACCTCAGCAGTACGACCAGCCGTCGCGGTACCGCCAGGGCGACTCTACGGCCGTCCGACTCCACAGCCCGACTGCCCAGTGCGCACACTGTCCGACTCCGCAGCAGACTGACTACACACCCAGGACTCCCCACCAGTCCGACTCCACAGTCCGAACCCATAACCGGCCGACTCCGCTGTCCGACCACCCACAGTCCGACTCCACAGCAAACGCTTCTTCTACGGTGTCGTCACGGCGGGGGTGCCGCTCGCAGGAGGGTGGCGACGGGAATGTAAACAACGAGGTTGGCCTCGAGCCGGTCGTGCTCGACGCCGCCCCGCATGCCGCCGCGACGATGTACGACCGCGAACAGCCCCGCGCCACTGCAACGGCCGGTGGTCACGCTGTTGGCGTACCGACCTCAGTCGTACAGCCGTCGCGGCACCGCCAGGGCGACTCCACGGCCGTCCGACTCTGCAGCCCGACCGCCCAGCGCGCACGCGCTTCGACTCCACAGCAGGCCGACTAATTTACCATCTCCGACGGCCGCGCTCCGTCGGTCGCTCCGTTTCCTCGCCTCACCAGGGCGCCGCCCCCCACTGCGTGAGCCGCGCTCACAGCTGCAACGGTGCTGACGCCCGTCGCACTCTCCGCCGTTGAGGCCGCCCTACACCGGCCGCGCGCACCCTCGCGCTCACTGGCACCAACATGTCTGCCACGCGTGTTTCACCGCCCACTGTGAAATACTTGATCTTACACCCGCATAGGGCCTCCATCAAGGCCGAAGGCCCCACTTCTTGCCAGCCCGATTGCCAGCGTGGCCACGCGTCATCGGGACCTGGCTGCGGTGGCGGGGGACGCCCTGTCGTTCGCAAACCGCTCAGCGGCCAAGCCCTTGTCCCCTGGCCGCCAAACGGGGCTTCGCCGACCTGGGCCCTTTTCCCCGCAGGGCGCCGAGAGACTTGGCGCATCGCCTGCTCAGCACCTCGTCAGTTGCTTCAGTCGCTTTGCGCCGGGGTGTGGTTGTTCAACACCCCCCGTACTTTAAAAGGTGCGCACCACCGCCAATAATGCGATGGCGGCCTCGGCTACCGCAGTAGCCGGCTGTCGAGGGGAATCCCGTTAGCGTGTCCGATCTCTCTCTCTCTCTCTCGCTCTCTCTCCCTCGCTCTCCCCCCCCTGGTCCTCCTCCTTTTTTGCTGCACGGCCTCCTGGCGGCGCGCGGGGTGCGAGCCAGTGGCGGCCTGCGGCCACGCCTGTCGAATCCGAAGCGCAGTGCCGCAGCAGACGCGTGCCGAGGAGGATGCAACGCCACGTGTGCAACAGAAAAAACCTCCCTCCCTCCCCCTGCTCCTCCTCCTCCTCCTCGTAGTCGCCCTCTCTCTGCGCCCCGCCCGAGCTTGCTTGCGCGGGGGCGTGGGGGTAGGGGAGGGAGGGCGAGGCGCACGAGGAGAGGGCGGAGGATAAAAAGGAAGGCAATCGGGCTAGGCAGGAAGGAGGGGGGCGAGGGGGAGGATGAGCCATCCTCTCCTTCTGTCTTCTACTTCCGCCCCCCTCCGTTCGGTTCCATTCCGCTTCGCGCCACTGCACTCCGCTCCGCTGCTCGCCCTTCCCCTCCACTTCCCTCCCCTCCCCGCCCCATCCCCTCCCCGCCCCATCCCCATCCCCTCCCCTCCCCTCCCCACCCCGATCCACTCCACTCCACTCCTCCTCGTCCCCTGCGCCATAGCCCCGCCAGCGGGGCCGCGCCCTGCCACCGCCCCGATGCCCCGCCCCCTCTCGGACTGCAGCTGCTTGCGCGTCCCAAAGGTCACGCTGCTCTGGTAGAGCGTCTGGTAGGCCGCGATCGACATCCGG